GCAGTCCCCCCTCTGGCAGGTTCAAGCCATTCCTCTTGTCCTGTCCCTCCATCCCTTGTCCAAAGCCCCTCTCTGGGTTTCCTGGAGCCCCTTTAGGCACTGGAGCTGCTCTAAGGTGTCCCCTTGAGGAGCCTTCTCTTCTCCAGCTGCCCCAGCCCAGCTCTCTCAGCCTGGCTCCAGAGCAGAGCTGCTCCAGCCCCGGGAGAAGGCTCAGGAGGGACCTTATCACTCTCTGCAACTGCCTGACAGGAGGATGGAGCCAGGAGGGGGCTGGTCTCTGCTCCCAAGGAACAAGGGATGGGACAAGAAGAAATGGCCTCAAGCTGCCCCAGGGCAGGTTTAGCTGGAGCTGAGGAACAATTCCTTCCCCAGAGGGTGCTCAGGCATTGGAACAGGCTGCCCAGGGCAGGGCTGGAGTCACAGTCCCCTGCAAGTGTTCATGCACTGTGTAGACAAGGCCCTCGGTGACATGGGTTAGTGGTGGCCTTGGCAGTGCTGGGGAAAGGTTTCACTTGATGATCTTAAGGGACTTTTCCAGCATAGTTGATTTTGTGGGTCAAAGATTCTATGAGCCTTGTATGGCTGCAGACCAAGCCATGCTTTTATGGATAGTACTGGCTATGGAGGTGACCACCTCACAGACTTCAGCCCTTCAGGCAGCAGAAAGCAACTGAGAACCACCAGCAGAGTTAACATCCCCAAAATCAGGTAGTTCATGTGGGTCAGGACCCTGATGGCAACAATAGGTCACAGTGGTCCTAATCAGCCTCACCTGGTGTTTTCTTCCCCCACCACATGCACCCTCACCCTCTCCGGTGGATGAGGACCCCCCATTGTAGGGGTGTGCCTGGCTGCATCTGGCTCCTGGATGGACCTTGGACCTGGAGTGTAGATAGTTTTATTTCTGGATGGGCCATTGTATTTTGTACATTGTATTTTGTCTTCAGCCACATCACCTTTTACTTCTGACTGATAAACCCTGAGTCTAGTTCATCATCTGCAGTGGCTGCTGATGGACCTTTCGTGATGGCCAAAGAACTTGTAAGATGCCAAGTGACTTCCACCAACCAGATGTTGTTGGCCGGGGGCAGCTGCTTTCTCAGCTGCTGCTGGTTCAATGCACAGATCTTGTAATCCTTCAAACTCCAGTGGTCACTTCTGTATTGACCTAGTGGAGGACTGGAAAGAAGTTTGCCAACCCATAAACTCTCCAACCACCAAATTCAGGGAATGGAGGAGTTGTGACAAACTAAACTGCTTTAGAAGTGCTCATTGCCTTTAACAAAGAGGAAAGTTTCCTTCTCCTTGGTGTCTATGAAGTTGTCCCCAGGGGCTTGTTAGGAAGAATGAGGTATGTTTACTATGAGCTTTCTAAGAAGGTTTCAAGATCATTAGAGGCTTCTTTATGATGCCCAGAAGGGCTTGTTAAGCTGATGACCCTTGGGTGGCTGGCCCCCAGCGGAATTCCTTGTTTTGGGAAGGGGAGGAGTGTAATTTGTGATGGAAACAGGTTTAATGACCTAGCTGATGTTGGAGTTCAGGCCTGCTAAGAGTCTTCCAGTGGGTCACGCTATGACTATTGTCTCCACCTACTGCTAGACAAGGCCTCTTATTTAGTCTTATTACAGGTACCACCATGTTCTAACTTTCCATATGCTTGATCTAGTTTTCCTGATACCTTCCTCATGTGTTTCTGCTGATGGTTATTTGACAGGCAGAAGGAAGAAGAGACAAAGCTGGAGGATATTTCTTAGAGCAGAACAGTTGGGATCACAAAGTTAAAGGGGAAAGACAAGATTTTGGTTTTAAAGATACTGTATCTCCGTTGGCTGTATGTCTTAAATGTCACAGGGACTTCTTCTTGTTTTCTTTCCAAGCATTGGTTTATTTAGTCTGTGAAGTCCATTGGACTTTCTGTGGTTTCTCGAGGCTTGAATTATTCCATAACATTATTGCACATTTTCCATATTCCATATTTAATTATTCCATAACATTAGTTATCAAAATATGTCCACATAAGAAGGTTGATCAGCCTGTGGAGAGGCCTTCTCCACAGTGAGGGATTCAGATATGAAATAAGAATTCCAGTGACATCCAATGGCATCCAGATTTTGGGTGTAATGTCCCTGAGTAACAAATAAACCACACCACAGAAAGGAGGATGCCCACTGACCCATGACTGAGAAAGCTAGTGGGTGAGGAGCAAACCTACCTGTATTGCATGAATGGGAGTACAAAGCACATGTTTAAAAAGGTTATTTTAATTGGCAGAGAGTTCAGGAGGTCTGAAAATACTCTTCATCTTGCCTGGGTTACTTAAAACCTAAGGATGTGTCTGGATGTGTCTTTGAGTTACGGAAGGAAAACCTTTCTCTGATATTGATGTCTGATTGTCCCCTCCTCACATCAGAGCCTGTGAGGACCTGGAGTTGGACTGAAATGAAGCAGGAATCAAGAGGGGAAGAAATCAGTTACAGAGGAAGCAAAGCAGGTTATGGGTTATGAGAAAATTGGGGCTGTGCAGCCTGGAGAAGAGAAGCTGCTGAAGACCTCAGAGCAGCTTCCAGTGGCTGAAGGGGGCTACAAGGATGCTGGAGAGGGACATTCATCAGGGACTGGAGTGACAGGACAAGGGGGGGGGGGGTAAAACTGAAACAAG